AGCCCTGGGATGCCCAAAGATGATCTGGTTTCCCATTTTCTCTCTCTTCACATAAATAAGCAGCCCTATCTGTAAACTATACATGGGGATAGAGAATGTGATCAAAGCTGAGAGACACCTGGACAGCTCATGACAGTGCTTACTGGAGTACTCAGTTCATCCCCATTCATGACTCCATAGAGAAAAACTTGATTAATTTCAAGATGGGACCATTGATGATGCCCCATTTTCAGGAACCTGCTTCTGCTCTCCAGAAGCTCTGTCTTCTTTCTCTTAAGCTCCCACCTATGGGACAACAAAAAGCTCTCCTTTCTAAATTTACCTGAATCCTGGGGTAATAAGGATATGACATCATACTTGGCCTATCTTCCTACCTTGATCTCACCCACAATCCTAAGGCTGCTCTCTCCAACAGTCTGGGTATCCTAATTCTCTCTATGAACAGACAGACAGACAGAGACACATACATACAGAGACACAGGAACACTGGCGCATGCAACTGTAACTGATAACGAGCAGTCAACACTGAGCCTGTGTGTGTTTTTAAACCTCTGATTCAGCAAGATTTTTCTCTGTTCCTCTTTTCCAGCCCCTCTCCCCACACTCCTCCCAGGATCTCCAGCTTTTCTACTCTGTTGGATGTTTTATCCTCTTCCAGATTCCAATGAAATTGTCCTCAAGTTTCTTTCATTTTAAATTTCTTTTATCTACAAGAGCAAAGATTTAAAAAAGGACCCTGTGTTTCCCACTGACCCAACTAAAGCTATAATCTGGAATAATAGTAAAACCTTCCCCAACAGGAAGTAAAACTGGGAGATGCTCTGCTCTGACAGGAAATTCTGTCTCTGCTCTCACATAAAGAGCCACTTAGGAGGTACAGCTGGGAGTCCTCATCCTAGCAGCCTTGAGGGACAAGAATAGTCTCCACGTACTTCTCTCTGGTGCAGCAACCTGAAGACAGGAACTTGGTCTCAAAGAGACAAGTAAGTGAAAATGAAGGGAGGAAGCAGGGTAGAGAAATTATATTCTAAATTTTAGTCCTCCATCAGATGTGTAACAGGTGAAGATTTTCTCCGGCTCAGTGAATTTCCTCTTCACTTCCTTGGTTGTTTCTTTTGCTGAACACGTTTTGAATTTAATGAAGTCCCACTTATCAGTGTTTGAGCTTAATTCCTGAACAACTAATGTCTGATTTAGAAAGTCCTTTCCTGCACCTATATTTTCTTGGTAATGCCTATGTTTTTCTAGCAGTTTCACAGTTTCAGGTTTCATTTTGAGGTCTTTCCTATATTTGGAGTTGACTTTGGGCACAGTGATAGATAAGGGTCTAATTTCATTCTTCTGCACGTGGAGAATTCGTTTTGCCAGCACCATTTGTTGAAGATCCTCTTTCCTCCATTTTCTATTCTTGGTACCTTTGTCCAATATCAAGTGACTGAAATTGAATGCAGTCGTGTTTGGGTCATCAATTATGTTCCATTAATCTATGTGTCTGTTCTTGTGCCAGTCACGTGCTATTTTATTACTACAGCTGTGCAATATAGTTTGAGATCTGGTATGGTACTCCCCCCAGCATTGGTCTTCATGCTCAGGATTGTGCTATATGGGGTCATTTGTGATTCCATATGAATTTTAAGATTTTTTTGTGTCTAATACTGTAAAGAATGTCATGATTATTTTCACTGGCATTGCATTGAATCTATAGATTGTTTTTGGTAGGATATTTTCACATTATTAGTTTTTCCAGTCCATGAACATGGGAAACAGAAATAGATGCATATAGTTAGTAGTACAGAGTTATACAGGGACTATGACATGACAAACCATACATGTGAGTTTGGCGTTGCCACTTTCTTAGATTCTAAATTTCATACTGAAACTGGACTTTTCCTGTATCCCCTGTAACATTTACAGAAAAAAAATCTTCAAATTGGTTTTATTCAGAGAGCTGGCAATATGGGAAGTCAGAGGAAAGACAATGAACACAAAAGTCCACAAATGGTCAAAAGGTAGAGAATAAGAGCCTACAGTGTACATGTTCCTGGATAGTCTCTGGATAACCTTTATACAGCCCTGGGATGCCCAAAGATGATCTGGTTTCCCATTCTCTCCCTTCACATAAATAAACAGCCCTAACTGTAAACTATACATGGGGATAGAGAATGTGATCAAACCTGAGAGACACCTGGACAGCTCATGACTGTGCTTACTGGAGTACTCAGTTCATCCCCATTCATGACTCCATAGAGAAAAACTTGATTAATTTCAAGATCGGACCATTGATGATGCCCCATTTTCAGGAACCTGCTTCTGCTCTCCAGAAGCTCTGTCTTCTTTCTCTTAAGCTCCCACCTATGGGACAACAAAAAGCTCTCCTTTCTAAATTTACCTGAACCCTGGGGTAATAAGGATATGACATCATACTTGGCCTATCTTCCTACCTTGATCTCACCCACAATCCTAAGGCTGCTCTAACAGTCTGGGTATCCTAATTCTCTCTATGAACAGACAGACAGACAGAGACACATACACACAGAGACACAGGAACACTGGCACATGCAACTGTAACTGATAACGGGCAGTCAACACTGAGCCTGTGTGTATTTTTAAACCTCTGATTCAGCAAGATTTTTCTCTGTTCCTCTTTTCCAACCCCTCTCCCCACACTCTTCCCAGGATCTCCAGCTTTTCTACTCTGGTGGATGTTTTATCCTCTTCCAGATTCCAATGAAATTGTCCTCAAGTTTCTTTCATTTTAAATTTCTTTTATCTACAAGAGCAAAGACTTAAAAAAGGACCCTGTGTTTCCCACTGACCCAACTAAAGCTATAATCTGGAATAATAGTAAAACCTTCCCCAACAGGAAGTAAAACTGGGAGATGCTCTGCTCTGACAGGAAATTCTGTCTCTGCTCTCACATAAAGAGCCACTTAGGAGGTACAGCTGGGAGTCCTCATCCTAGCAGCCTTGAGGGACAAGAATAGTCTCCACGTACTTCTCTCTGGTGCAGCAACCTGAAGACAGGAACTTGGTCTCAAAGAGACAAGTAAGTGAAAATGAAGGGAGGAAGCAGGGTAGAGAAATTATATTCTAAATTTTAGTCCTCCATCAGATGTGTAACAGGTGAAGATTTTCTCCGGCTCAGTGAATTTCCTCTTCACTTCCTTGGTTGTTTCTTCTGCTGAACATGTTTTTAATTTAATGAAGTCCCACTTATCAGTGTTTGAGCTTAATTCCTGAACAACTAATGTCTGATTTAGAAAGTCCTTTCCTGCACCTATATTTTCTTGGTAATGCCTATGTTTTTCTAGCAGTTTCACAGTTTCAGGTTTCATTTTGAGGTCTTTCCTATATTTGGAGTTGACTTTGGGCACAGTGATAGATAAGGGTCTAATTTCATTCTTCTGCACGTGGAGAATTCGTTTTGCCAGCACCATTTGTTGAAGATCCTCTTTCCTCCATTTTCTATTCTTGGTACCTTTGTCCAATATCAAGTGACTGAAATTGAATGCAGTCGTGTTTGGGTCATCAATTATGTTCCATTAATCTATGTGTCTGTTCTTGTGCCAGTCACGTGCTATTTTATTACTACAGCTGTGCAATATAGTTTGAGATCTGGTATGGTACTCCCCCCAGCATTGGTCTTCATGCTCAGGATTGTGCTATATGGGGTCATTTGTGATTCCATATGAATTTTAAGATTTTTTTGTGTCTAATACTGTAAAGAATGTCATGATTATTTTCACTGGCATTGCATTGAATCTATAGATTGTTTTTGGTAGGATATTTTCACATTATTAGTTTTTCCAGTCCATGAACATGGGAAACAGAAATAGATGCATATAGTTAGTAGTACAGAGTTATACAGGGACTATGACATGACAAACCATACATGTGAGTTTGGCGTTGCCACTTTCTTAGATTCTAAATTTCATACTGAAACTGGACTTTTCCTGTATCCCCTGTAACATTTACAGAAAAAAAATCTTCAAATTGGTTTTATTCAGAGAGCTGGCAATATGGGAAGTCAGAGGAAATCTGCCTTACATGGGTCTTCATTGCCAGTATGTTTTATAGAGAACCTGATCAAAAGCTATAAATCAACCCAAAGTTTAGTCTTGTCACACATGACAAGTTGTCAGACTAGTCTGTGAGAATCTGCTTTTCCTTCATCATTGTCTCTATCTGTGCAGAGGTACCAGGTTCACTTACAAGGCCACATAGTCTTGTGTGATTCCTGACCATGCCATATAGACAGAAATTTGACACAGAACAGATCAACTAATATCAGTGTGTATATACTGAAATGCTTACAATGTGTACATGGAGATTGCTTCCTACAAAAAGTACAATTGTGCTCCTGTTATATAGACTACAAATTGTCCTTATTTGTCACTTGTCATTCTGAACTGTAAGTAATGACACGTATCTAAAAGAACTATAGCTGCGCAATATAGTTTGAGATTTGGTATGGTAATCCCCCCAGCATTGTTTCTGGGCTGGAGAGATGGCTCAGCAGTTAAGAATACTGGCTGTTCTTAGAGAAGACCTGTGTTCGAATCCCAGCACCCACATGGCAGCTAACAACTACCCATAACTCTAGTTCCAAAGGATCTGACAGCCTCTCTGTCCTCTGCGGGCATTGCACGACACAGGTGCACTTACCTACACGCAGGCAATACACACATATAAAATAAAATATTTTAAAAGAACTGTTTCATATAAAAGATGGCGTCTTGCTGCTGAGCAGCTAGTCACCTGTTAGTTTAGTTCCATAAAAAGGTCATTCTTTGGGACAGATATGTACACATTATATATAACAGCAGGCAGTAATGCCAACAAGGATAAGAAATAGGAAAAAAAGTAAGCATTCGCTGAAGCTATGGCTCAGCATCCAGGAAGTAACAAAGGACAGATCTTCACCACGGAAACCCTTCCTCTTTATTGTGGCAGAGTGAATCTTATGAGATGCTTTAAAACTCTGTCATCTTAGCATTGTCAGTTGTCAAAACAATATAGGCATTTAAACTCTATGTACATGGTTATATTTCAGTAGAACTAATCTATCGTGGACACATTTACTAGGATTCTTCCCTAAGTAGAGTTACTTTCTGTCCAATATCCCCAATAGCCTGAGATGTCATATCTAAGGCTTTTCATCATAACACAATCCAGGTGTTCCACATATATTTAGGAGTCCTTCCATTCTGACATCACAAAGATGGTCATAGACAAAGTCTCAGATTAGATGATCAAGAAAGACACTGAGGTACTTTGTCCTTGTGTGTAAGAAATATATTAGAAGAGTTAGAGCCATAGATATACAGCATTTCAGACATATTGAAGAGAGATCATGTCCCCAAAGCTAAGAGAATCCTCTATTGTAAATTTCAGAGACTATAGGAAGGTCCTATGTGATTTAGTTAGTGAGTAGCTCATAGTATATGCACGCAATAAGGTGGTCTCTGATTCCCAAGTGGCAGTAGAAGACAGAAAGGTCTGAACTTTTGTTAATGTGTGTCCTTCCTGTGGGATGTGCCACCTGGAGACCCTTATAGCTTAGAGTGCTTAGGAGACTTCCTTTGGGGAAGTGAGCATTACAGACCCATAGACAGCCACAGTAGGGTGTCTGTCCTTTCTTTCACAGCAGTTGTGAAGGTAAAGAGGCTGCTAGAGGATCTTGAGTAGTGTCAAACCAAACCCAAGCACAGAGGCATATCTTTTAGTGTTTTACAGGTATGCTTGGCAACTGAACATCAGTGAGAGAAACTTCCTTCTTTCTTTTTAACCCCATGAGTCAGGAGGGCCATTTAGATAAGCATACTTTGAGTCTTCCCAGACTACATGACATTCCAGTGCTATAACCACAGAATACCCAGCTTTATCATTACCCTGGACAGACATGACTGCTTCAATTCATGTAGTGTCCTTGTCAGCTTTTGTGATGGCAGTTTATTATCAAGTAATTAGTTTCAGTATCCATCATAAAATCAATGTTTGTTACCCCCCACACCATTGTGAGTTTTATCTGAGGCTCCTTTGCTCCCCTGTCAGGTGGGTAGGGAGTAAGGCCTGGGTGTTTGTCCAACTTTGGAGAAAAGTAGGAAAAAGTAGACTACTAGATCAGCCATTTTCATTGGATCATTCTATTAGGGTGAAGTTTCATGTTTTTAACTGAAGAGATTTGAGGTGGAAAAGGAGTGTGGGCCCAATGATGTCTTAGTGGCTATCCATCATTTCCCATATAGAAGGGGAATAATTTTGTGACTATTGCCCAACTGGGGACTGAATAGAACTCCTACCAAATACAGTCCTCTGTAGTTTCTGATAAGGGGACACTATTCCAAACGTGGTCTCATTTTCTTTTAACTTTAGCTTCCCTTGGATATAGGGGCAAAAGTGTTACTGCTAACTGAGCTTAGAACCTTATCCTTCCTGACCTGACAAAGTCAGTCAAAAGCATAACAGTGATCTTAATGAAGTATAAGATTTTGATTAGTTTATATCATACCTTCATAGCACACTAGATACTAAGAGATATAATCCCATAGCTATTCATAGCAAATGTGTTATTACAATGAATTAATATTGAATCTAAAATTATATAATTTACAACTTTCATCTCATGAATCTAATGTTCTAAACAGACAAAACACACTCTTTCAAGTATTAACAAGAGCAGATAAATATCTTCAGAGCGCCTCATTGATTTTAACAGGATTGACATTTAAGCTTGTATTAGTGTACTGAAATACACTTGGCTTTTGACCTTAGGAATTTTAACAATGTTTGCTCTTATCAATTTGGTTATTCTCATGCCATTTATTTTGTCCTAATATTAAAGACATTTTAATATAATTTTCTCTTTATATTTCATTTTTTTCTTTGGAACAATCCTTTACCTTAAGACAAAACTTATTTACTATATAAACTCCTTCCTCATGTTAAAACTTCATTTTCCTTCCACCTTTTTACTAAAAATATCTTCTTCATACGTACATCCTCAACATGATTTTCTCTTTAACTTTTTAAATAAATATCGAGATACAGTAACATAAAATTACCAAGTTATTAAAAGACACTTGAATCCAAATTACATTTATGACTTTGGGATGGCAAGTAGACTGAGGGTTAACTCAGAATAAAAAGTATTACCACTTATCTGTGGAGCTGCTTGCAGTATAATCATGTAGATTCCTTCCTATAGAATAAAGTGCAAATATATTCTTAGAATGCATTCTATAAAGTGCTCCTATTTCTTGGTACAAAATGAAATGCAAACATTGTCCTATGATACAGAATGTAAAGTTTCTGTATTTGTACCCTATCAGTGCTTCTAGCTGCTTTACTGAAAATCCAAAGGAGAAAGACTAGAAGGAAATAGATTTCTTCAAAGCCAGCCCAGAGGAAAAGAGAAGACATTTTTCATTCCCTAATCATCTCTTAGCATCTGTGTGAAAGGCTTTTGCATGTAACATAAGGGTTAAAATGAGACAGTGTGTGAGGAAGCCCCTCACTTAGTGGAGTCTTTCTCTTCAGTGTGTAGAATTTCTCTTTTTCTGTAAAGTTGCTCTGGATCTGAGACATTCACCTTCTGGGATTAGCAGCTTCGTTTCCTTCCCAGACAAATACATTACTTTTTTGCAAGTCTACTTATGTGAACCTAGGTAAAGGGTGAATGTTGAAGATGTCCCTCTTCAGAAGCTAAAATGCAGTCCAAAAGGGACAGGTCATCAAAAGATGGGGACAGGATTAGATAGAAATGTCATAGTTTCTGCCTATTCAAGTACAGTTACATGATAAAGCAGACCAAAGGAGAAATTGAGTCCTTCTGGAAAATAACTCCTCCGACTTTATCTTTTCTCACATGAATGGTAAATGCTAAGTAGACATCATAAATCCACAATTTGGCCAATCCTGTTTTAATCATTGTTCTGATGACTAGCTGAAAGGGTTGAAGACAGAGGACACATCATAAAAAATAATTTGGTGAGTTGTAAAATCAAATTGAAATAAAATAGGCTTAATTAGAGAGACATTGTTTCA